TCAAGGATTGAACTCACAACTCTGGGTTTAGCAGGCCAATGTTCAGAAGCACCATCTGGTGCCGAGGCATCTTTAACCAGTTTTCAACACCTTCTCTTTTGACTTAAGGAGACCAGCTAGGTTGAATAAGAGATTTTTGCATGGATTCTATCCCAGTTGATATTTTAAGAATCTTGTTTGAACCCTGTACTTCATCTTTGCATAGAAAAGAAACTCCTGAGGATTGCTAGGTTTATGGGTTTCAGAAGAGGGACCATACTCTGTTTTCTACCACAGATAATTTTTACCTAAACTACAGGACTAGGTGTTCGTACCTTGGAGAGTCTTCAACACTCACTTAGTAGTCTTATAAACTCATAATCCAGACTCTGGAACACTAGCATTTCAACCTGTTCTTGATGGGATGGGGCCTGCAAACACAAAGGGGGGTTTTCAGCTTTGTCTCCATTAACTAAATCTCTCTGCTGAGGCAATAAACTTCAGGGGATTGGTAATGGGATGTGGAGCCTTTCAATGTTAGGTCAGCAGTTTGACTCCAGGCTAGGTCTTTATGGGTTGCCTAGTGTCCTATGTAAAATGAATTTGAGGGTCTCAGTACGACTCTGAAGGGACACCAATGTCCCTATCACTGTTGGAACTCCTTGCAGCCCCTCAGACTGAATGGGCTGAGTATTGTGAATGGCCCTTGCACCATGGAAATGTGGGCTCTCTCAGGGTTAAGGCCCATGGGTTGGTCATTGTGTGAGAAGCTTGTCCTGCTACTGCCCATGATATACATGTTCCATGGATTAATAAAACCTTTTCACGAGCACCACATTTAGTGCTATCTTCAAAAATTCATTTCAGTTTTGTAGACTGAGATGCACGGGCAAAGCTGTTTGAGGAAGACCAGGACCCACATAAAGGTGTGCTGCTGCAAAGCACAGACCTGCTTTGGAGCAGCTGTGTAGTCCCTCAAAGCTGGCATAGCAAGGAGCGGGGGGGAATGGTTGCGAGTCAGGGTTGAGGTATTTTGACAGAGCTGTGTGAGGAAGCCCGAGACTGGAATAAAAACAGGTTTGCAGATCAGGATTGAGATGCACTGGCAGAGATGGAGGGAGTGGAAATATTTCACAGCACTTTGCTGTGCTGGGCCTGCCTCTCTTCATTTACCCAGCCATATCATTAGTCCTTCTCTTTCAACAGCATCAAATGTGGCTCTGATTTTAAAATGAACATTTAATTACTAAATACTTCAGAGCATTTCCCTCTCAAACAGCCATTTCCTATTTCTGGTCCTCAGACATTAAACTACTCCATGAATTTCTTGTCTCTCCTAGTTAAAGCCAGGAAAGTGTGTTTGCAGATGGTTTCCAGAGGTACAGCAGCGCCATCATAGGTCAAGCAAGCTAATCGCAAGTGTGTATCCCCATAGATAACAGCAAGTGGTAGACCACCAGTGCTGTTTGAAGGGCGGTTTATGTTCTGCTTATTTTGTATTGTTCCTCTCTTCAGATACGGGAGATACACGGGTGACGTGGATTAATTTCAGTTAGGGATTGTCCATAATTAAGAGAACAACATTCTGGAGAGAAAGGGAATGGGTCTGAGGTTGATCCATTTCACTATGAAAACTTTTGTGACTGATGTACTTCTTTGGGGGAGGAGAGGACAGAATAGCATACTATTCTATATGTAATCCCAAAATGACAATTTCTTAAAACAACTCAAGTTATTTCGTGGTAACGCCATTGGAAGCAATGGTCATTACAGACTCCTAGAACTCAGAGATGGCAAAGATCACCTCTGATCCATCTTTTCCATGCATAACCCAGTTCCATTCTCACAGGCCACTGAGCAGCTGCCTGAGAGCTGATTACTTCTAACCTCCATGGTAACCTGCGTAACATCTGCCATCCTATTTCGCTTAACTGGAAAAAGCCACAGTCACCACTGCATCACCACCTGTCTGCCTTTCAGATGCTTGGCAAAGTCGGATTGAAACTCAACAACGCCCCAGGGGCACCTTTCCGAAATGGATAGCCCTGATGGTGGCTTTGCCAGTAGCAATCCAGGGAATAAAGGCTACATTTTAGATTGTGTTTACAGTTAGAGATGGAAACTCAGCAAAATGAAACAGAAGGCCCTGGATTTCAGCAGCATCAGGATTCCCTAGAGTGTTACACATTAAACCCATTGGGTTAAATTAATCCCTGGAGTAATACCACTAATTTCAAGCACCAGAGATTAATTTGATGCTATCGTAACCGAGGCTTTTCTCTTGGAGAACACACATGGCAATTTGGCAAAAATTATTATGGTCTTTAAAAATTACCACAGGAATGTTTATTACCATCTAGTCTGTCTTTTGAGCCTCTCTTTCAAATCTTGTTGTTCCAGAACTGTGAAGAGCTGGAAGCCTTCTAACATTTCAGTGCCTCCCGGACAAGCATTCTGCCAGTTCTGTTCCTCCCCTTACAGAAGGTGTATATGAAAACCAAAAGAGCAACATCGTCTCTTTTTTAGGAGCTAGTTATAAGTGGTTCTAGTGATGTCTAATTCATTTTGCAGGCATCACTGAGCTGGATACACAGTTTCTTAATCTGATTATCTAGGGCCATAGCTTTGTGCTCTAGTTCTTCCAGTCTCTTGTTCATCATCTTTCTTTTAGCAGGAGTGTAAAATGTGGCTGCTCCCTTAAGAAATGCTTTAGCAGCCTCCTTTAAGAGCATGAGATTGTCCCTATAAGATAGCAGTTCTCAAACTGTGGGTCGGGACCACAAAATGGGTCACGACCCCATTTTAATGGGGTTGTCAGAGCTGTCTTAGACTTGCTGGGGCCTGGGGCTGAAACTGAAACCCGAGGGTTTCAGCCCTGGGCAGTGGGGTTCAGATTACAGGCCCCCTGCCTGGGACTGAAGCCCTTGGACTTGGCCTTTGGCCCCCCCACCTTGGGGATGAGGCTCGTGTGGGCTCAGGCTTTGGTCCCCCCTCCTGGGGTC